CTATCTATTTATCTATCTATCTATCTATCTGTCTATCTATCTATCTATCTATCTACCTATCAATCCGTCTATCTATCTAATCTATATATCAATCAGTGTCGACATGGACTCGGATTTTTGTAAGCCTTTCTGTCTCTGAACTGATTGTTTACAATCGATTTGTAAGCAGCCCAACGTATTGCACTCTCATTGCAAGGAGGAGTAGTCACTTGGTTCCTTGTACATCTAATTGCGTAAGAAATGACTGTTACAATAGACAACTGAAAATATCGAATATTGTGCTGAACACATACTTCTATCGCCCCATCGTTCCGGTGCATCAGTAGATCATAATGACCTTGGAATTTTCCAACTGGGAGACTTCCCATCGCCTGAAGTAAACAATAAATAGACACCTATCAGTTCATTATCAACCTGGATAGCGTCTTGTTCCATACGATGGCAAAGCGGCTGAACACGCGACCGTAATTTTACACCTTAGAAATCACGTGTTGAAAAATCCGGTTGATCAATGAACATTATTCCATAAACCGTCTCACAAACATCAGTGTATATCACTAATGTCTACCGGATAACTAGTATTATCACCCAAGTTTGCTCGTTCAGGTCAAAGGCACTTATCGTTCAATCACGGAAAACCATATCACGTGGTCTCATATTGATCGGCTCCTCGAGTGTCAACTTTTCTGATGGAAGTTTCAGTCATGGTGTATGTCTATTCCTCTTCTGAGTTACTTGTAAAAGATTCATTAAAATTTCGACTTCCTTTTGTACCGTAGCACAGAAATGTATGAATCATAAGGTACCCAAAGCCATTGCTTGGTTATCCGAAATGTGACACTGGCTAGGCTTGGATATCTAGATGCATGGACTAGCAACCTTGCTGAACTTCGTCTTTGGAACCTGAAGTTCCTAATCAAGTATTTTCAAAATTCACGGTCACCTATCACGGTTAACAAAATACAACTGTCATCTCGATAAATGCACTCATTTTCATAACAGTTTTACTTTTCACAAGTGACACAAATGAGTCTTTCCGTGGCGTTTTGGGACTCACCATTTCACCGTATTTCATCACGTGACTAAACGCTGTATGCTTTTTTACATACGTGTATTGTTCGTCCAGTGTACGCTTTTTTATGTCTTCCTGAGTGCGGGTGGGAGATAATGACAACGGGGTGCAATGTGAAGCATACACATCAGCTTACGCAATTTTAAGGCGAATCCCCTGTAGGCAAAACATTGAAAGTATGACTAGAGTTACGACAAACCGAGGTATGCAACGACACATACTGCAGCAATATTAGTGAGCACCTGTTTGTTCCTGGACACCATACATGCACATCTCATAAGGATCTGGTGCTGTATGGTTCTGATCACCATCATAATTATTAACATCGAGAGCAACAACAGCGGAAAATACTGATGATTCGCTACCGCACAAGCATTCCAAATTATTTGTATTGGAACAAGAAAGGATAATGGAGGGATAACCTTGGGCTAGCCTACAGCATACATCCAGCTCCACACCTCCGAGACATAATTAGACAATCCGGATAGAAACTGACAGCATCAATGCCATTGGAATGTTGATTCATTTCGACATATGTATTGAGACGGTGTATTGAGTCGAAGGCGTTCGGGAGAGCCACCATCATCATCATCATCGTTATCATCATCATTATCAACGTTACCACTGTCAACATCCGTATTCAAAATTGACGCTTCCCTGCATGCATTCGAAATCCGCTTAAAGCCCTATTCAAAAGAAAAGAATCAGAATGGATGGGGAAATGTCTTGGTGCGGCCGACGACAATTATTCCGATGCGCCTACAGCTCCAGGTAATTACTCAGGCCGTCTGAACCGAAAATGATAACAAGAACTCTAATAACATCGATTCAAGGACATTATTTGCAGCTTCTTCAACCAAGCACGATGGAAATCAGGCGGTCTCCATCGTAGAGGGCGAATTACGCCGATAGCACCCAGACGTTTGCTGGTCTCTTTAATATCCCTCTGCGAGAGCACAGGCGAACCTGGTTGGAAGGAAAGTGAGAAATTTCGGACATACAACAAACGGTTTGATTGTTTTGGGGCCACCGCACAACGGCGATGGCTGAATTGCCATAAATCCTCTTCATGCTTGAAAACGAAAAAATAAATCGTTTGGAGAATCATATGGACTACCACTGGCTGCTAAATACCACCGAATTACTCATCCACAACTGACAGGCTTTTCTGCATCATTTGTGTTAAAACTTACGAATTCCGAATCTATAACCCAGGCATACGAGTATTCGTCCGCTAGACAAACATCGATATCCTTGTCCGAACAAAACAAAGAATGGGATGGTTCATCTTCCTTGGTTGATGTTGTCGTGTAGACTGCAGGTTTAGGGGTTCAGACAACAGATAGTATAGGTCAATATCAAAGATGTGTGAAACAGTGAGGTAAATTATCGACGAACGGATACTGTGACTCACAGAAATAATGAAGCTGCAAGACGTCTAGAACTAACACACTATTCAGAAGGTCGTGGACAGAACGTCATGGTTTTCGTGCTTCTTGCGGCGAATCATGTAGACACTGCCATTGAATTTTCCTAAAACTTAATCAAGACTTGAAACCACACTGCATGGAATTTGCCAAACACCCTCATGAACGAGACATTTATCTGGGTTCGGTTGGGTCAACCCATCAAAATCAAATAAGTGTGTGAATGTATAATCTTTTTTTACGTTAAAACCCCTTGGAAACAGACCACTGACGAGAACGGTCAAAGGTAGTCACGCCACAATCATTAAACCAGTTGTTTGATGGGTTGTAGTGGACTTTTTATAAAAGACCAACGATCCATTTAAGATTTAGAAAGAAGTTATCCACTTGGCATCGGTGGTTGCTGCAAACGGACACCAAAATATCACAGGTGTTGTACCGGTTACACAATGATTTCCTCCACCCATATGAAACTGGTTCGGCAGCGGAAGCGACATTAATCGATGAAGGCGAGACTTTGCGCTATCATCGGCTAAACGCTTCTTGCGTAGGGTCAGGGCTACTTCCATAAAAAGATCGCGAAGTGAACAAAAATAAACAAAGCTTAGAACTTTGATCTGTTTTCCCGGTCAACGCCGCTTTAAAACCAGATATATGATTGACATTCTGAATGCTATTTCAGAGGATCCAAGCAAGAATCAGCCAGAAATTCACGCTACTTACTTCCCATATGTGAAGGAAGAACATCTTTAAACATAGAGCCGGAATGACAAGCCTCCACGTACAGCACCAATTTCTTGAACATTTTATTTGAATGCATGTAGGCGAGGGTATCGTTCAACTCCATGGCCAAGAGCTGTCGCAAGACAATAATAAAAATTCTCGTGAGATCCAGATGAGTCACTCGATGAGTCAGTCACCAGCGATGTGGATCCCTTGATTGAAGAATGAGCGACGCTATGTCCTGACTTAGTGCGGATAAATCAGGCTGTCGCCCTAGAAGCGGAAAGCAGTGTTTTCTTGTCAGGGAGAATTCGGCTGACGCGTTCTTCGTACCATCCACGCCTCATAAGTGACCTTGTATGATAAGCTTCTTTGTTTACGGTATCTGCGTTTGCTCATTAGTCTGAATGGATCGACCGCGAAATCATGTGAGCGAACGACCTTTGTACTTCATAAAACAAAATCTATGTGTCGGGGTGATTTAAAGCACTTTGACGAGACCTATCAAACTTGAATTCCTGGGGATATCACTCTTGAGAGTGACGTACGAACATCCTCTTTATAAAGAATCACCGATATCATTGCACCAACATGTTTACGTAAGCGTTTTCAATCCGTTTACTATTTAGCTTCCAATTAAAAAAAATGCGTGCTAAAGCCGTGGTTACCAAAATTAACTAAACTTACATATTCTTTTAGGAAGTTTATATAGGAAGTCCCACCATGGCCAGAGTAGAAGATGAACACGTTGTCATTTGGACCGCTGTTATTGGGGAGAAAATTTAAAGTGGTCTTGAAGAATAGCTTATTGGCTGGCGTTCTCACAGATAGGAAAGCACAACAAGAAACCCGCGAAAATGGAAGCGTAGAGGAACTTATTTCAGAATATTGTTTTGTACACGCTGCTGGATAAAATCAGGAGCTAAATTAAATTCCACCAGCCTGCTATTTGCATGGCCACATGAATACGGGGATGCAAATTCGAATTTGGACGTCTGTTGGTTAATTCCCATGGTTTTCAATGCATGAAGATGGTTGGAAAAAGTGTTCCATTTTAGCAGGTCTTATCCTCCTGCCGTTGTAAGGGCCGTACTCAGCTCTTTTGAAAAGACGCTCTTGTTAGCATGATTAAATCTGTCTAATGAAATATCTACTTATTATATACACTACTGAGGAAAAAATATTCTGACTAAGATTGGGCGATCCTATATTTTTAACACGGATATGCACGAAGCCAAAAGATTTTATGCAAATCTCATCTGGTAATGTCTCATCTGGTAATGGTTTGCGAGTGAATTAACACTTGCCTCGTCTCCTGCCTTGTCTCTGTATGCTGACGCTTTCCATCTCGTTATGTGCGGGTCAAGATGGCGTAGGAGGAATTTCGAAAGAACAACTGTGACGTTAGCAACCCATATAGGCGAGACAGGTATTCTAAAAGCTGAGAAAATTATGTGTTAATCTCGAAACATATTTGAGGGACCGCCATAAATCGGCAGGGCCGCCAGTAGACTTGAATTTCCTTCATCCAAACAACAGTGTTTATTTGCGTTGTTCAATAACGTGAGTTGAAACAAGTCCTGAATCCGAGCAAACCAAGATCGACCGACCCCAATTCGTAGAAGTCCGAGAAGATATTTGATCATTCACTGCGCATGTCTTAATAATTTTGAAACTTCTGTACAGTGGCGATTGACGCCTATGATTTAATAATAACCCATAGTCAGAAATGGATAAACCGGGTTTCCCTTGGAGTAAAGCAAACCCTTTTGACTGACTTCTGGGCGGCTTGCTCAAAGCGATTATGTACCAAGTTACGTACGAGAATACTAAACGCGCATTTCGTAAATCCGAAGAAGATGACCTGCAAAACTAGAATTCTGGCTGTGATCAGCAATTGCTTCAACAATATCCACTCCCGCGCAAACTCACCTTTTCAGCACCTTCTTTCTGTTGGCTTCAAGTTTCTTATCGCCTTTTAATACGTTCACGAAGTTATCCCGTGTGACATCCTAAAAAAAATGAACACGCAAGACCAAATATTCCCGCGACAATGGTGTTCCAAACACCCACTCTCTTCCCAGTAGCAATCCACTTTCACCCTAAGAAATAACTGAAATCTAGGATCTGCCCCCCATATGCATTCATTTTATTTCCGCGATGGTCGCTGTATGCTGAAAACTGAAGAATTCGTTTGTTGTTCTGTTTGCCAAGCATGGCATTTGGATTTGCTCCTCAAGCCTAGGGTTAGTAGTTGAGTTGAACATGGACTACCTGGACTACTCACTAGAAAGTAGCCCTCATCTACCTCAGTAGCTAAGGAACACAACATACTTGAGAAATAGCCGCTATCTTGAAGTGAGTATCACTCATCAACACTAAACTGAATCACAGTTGAACATCTCTTATCTATGATATTCTTTAGATGAATGTGCTGTCCTAGACACGCTGCTTGGTTTCTTCGGTGCATCACTCGGGATATCACAGGATATTTCCCCGGAGAAAGCTATTCGATCCTTGTTGGCCCTCGTGCACATTTCGTGATTCTTTTGACAAAAACGCTGGCCTACTTGATAGGCCAAAAGCAGAAAGTTGAACTCGGTCATGGGTTGCTTGAATGTTCTCCATGATTTTATGTCTAGTGTTCGGTCAAGTGGATCGAACATCCTGTAATATAGTAAAACTAAATTGCATGCCCCACGGTTTGTATTGTGTGTTCATCCGCAGTGTAATTTCATTTGCAAATTGTTACACGGTGAACTGATGCAGGAATTTACTTGATTGCCGCGCACCAGAACACGGACTTACATTTCCTCGGTAGTCAATAATCACACCATTGTATACATCTTCGTGGTCGTAGTCATGGAAAACCTTGCCTTTGAAAGGATTTCTGGAATAAGAGAATGGAAAGTGTTAGTGAGTCCTCCGGGAGAAATTAACAAGTAGGTCAATTGGAAAGAAATGAAAGGCTCCAAATTCTGTTCGAACCGGGTTCGCAGGCTTGTTTTGGAATATATTTCCAAGACTATGAGTGTGCTTTCTGTCACACATCTGATTAAGTGTTAAATAATAATCCTTTACGCAGAAATAATTTAGATATATTTACCTGGGATTGTTTGCAATATCGTCGTAGGCGAGCGTAATTATATTCTGCGCTGGAACGTTGTTTTGACGTACGATCTGGTACGCGTGATAAACGTCAGCCTGAATGAGAACACAAATGACAAATGAACTATGGATAACAGGCGGAGTGAGGCATGGAGGCTAAAAAAGGCAAGCAGCGTGTGTAGAATAATCCATGCTTGGTGGAGCATCAGTTCTCCCAACAGTATTGGGATGCATTATCACAAGAACAGGAAGCAGGATTCCGCTCTGGAAGGGCTTGTATGGACCACAGTTCCACATTCGGTCAAGTGTCCGAACAACGACTTGCCCACCGAAAATGTACAATCTTGGTATCCCTTGACTTCGAAAATACGTCCGAATCTGTCTTTCGCTTGCGTACCAGATAAATAGCCACATTGCGGCGAAACTCATTGGTAATAAAATATTACTCACTGAAACTTAAGAATGGATACAAACAACATTTTCAATATGATTCTCGTATGACCTCATGCAAATGATACACGAGAGGACGAACGAATCTTACCAAGATAGATTTCTGTATGTTAATTCCGACTACACTCTACTTGATCTCACCAAGTAGTATAGATTTATCCGCTCACATTGCTTAGCAATTTCAGTGCTTTCGCCAAAACAGCCAATGTTGTTCGTACATCAGTGGTCTTTGTTGAGGTTTCTGACACCTGGTTCATACAACAGGTCTCTCTAAGCCTCGGCAGTGCGGAGCCCGGGAGAGTTTCTCTAATATAATCAAGCTACAATGTCAGGTCAGATGATTATTGGTGGCGTGAAAACCATCGAATCCGTGTTTTATATAACACCATACCTTCAACTCGCAGGCCGTGATTTCACCTAACATAACGCAACAATAAACACTTACGGGTGAGGAAAGTCAGATTCCGATTAACGTGACTCACGCTATCCACCTCAATGACACCTGAGTTTAATAGGACCGGAAAATCGACTCCACCCAAATCAAAATATCGTTTTACGACAAGTAAATACTGACGAAAACTAACATCGGCCACGGAATATGTGTCCCTTAGTGTGTCTATTAGATGTGACTTCTATCCACCGTCGTCTCGACTTAAATATCACAGCCATGGAGACAACTAGTTAGGATAGAGCTGTTTTGTGGGACCATTGTTGGAAACTTCCGCTTTGAAGAAGAACGCTCGAGCCTCAAACCAACAAACAACCAACGGAAACCTACTTGGTGTCGATAATTTTCCCAGGTGTTGGAACCAGCGGCAAGGACAACCCAGTTCTCCGACGGATTATTGTTGAATAAAGATGACCAATTGTGGTTACCGATGGCCTCCAACCATGCAACGTGGTCGATGCAGAACAAGAACGCGATAAGGAGCGAAAAACGACGCATCATATTCAGGAATACTTGAAACTTCATGCGCCTGGGATTTTATACTGTGCGTCTCCTGGGAATCGACCTTTGACCTATAAATGTATGGCAATAATGTGAAAAATGTATCCACCACAAATCTAGTGGTTCTGCAGTACAAAGTTCATGCTGATCTGTGTATGTTAGGCCATTTTGATCAGCTTGTTCAATGATTGATCATTCCAACAAGTGTGCACATTTGGTGATTTGCGGTGTTTTCTAGGACTTCGTTGAGCAGCAACCTGGGTCTACAAAATTGTTTTCACGTATCTTCTGGCTTTATGAGTACCTTTAAAAATCCTTCGTCCCATGAGGACAATAATGCGGCTTTTTGTAATAAAACGTCATAGTGAAAACGTGTATCCCAGTTGGAAGAGTCTTAACCTCTCAACAATATCAGCGACAGGAAGAAAGCCTCCGCTGCGGGTACTTTATTATAAAATTCCAACTGACCATTTACAGACTATTAGACATGAAAGCATACGTCTCATATGCATCCTTATTACAAAAATGGAACATCCATCTTCACGTGACCGCATCTTGCTGAACGTTCCTGGATATTCATTGAGTGTTTCTAAAGTCGAAGTAAATAGTAAAAAACGAGTCCACATATTCCGGAAAGATCTCCGTTTTCAAGCCAATTTTCTGATCAACCGGAAGACGCGGATGTCGACCGTACATCAGCATAAGCGGATACTTGCCCGTGGTCTACTGACTGAGAGCACGATAAACTAGCAACGCCATTAGCAAGTTCGCTTCCCAGTCACCTCTTTTGGCCGCTAACCACTCGTTGCTCGTTCGATTATTACGTTCGGTTAAGCCATTTGTGCGATAGTGGTAAGGTGCCGTCCTTAGTTGTCTTCTACCCAGCTTATGCGAGCAAAACCTAAACTCCTCGCACCCGAAGCAAGGCCTCAGATCGCTTACGATCACTTTTGGCGCCCATGTTTGGCCACGATGGGATCAATTACCACTCCGCTGATCGTCGTCGCCTGCCGATTGGGTACGACTGCCGCACCGTTCCACTAAGAAAGGGGTTCTGTCCGTGACGTCCACAGACAACAACTCACCGCTTTCTGGGAAAACAATAGGTTCCATGGGGTGGACTTCCTCTGTCGTGTTCTCTTTCATCACTTGACATCGCTTACAGGACACCACATAATCCATCGCCTCACTTCTCACTTCGGGCCAGTAGGCCCTCTGCCAAAGTATATGCCATCACATAGTATTCGACGGTAAGCCAGGTTTTACGGGTAGCGTGGCATCCGAATCAGTGGTGTTCCAGTAAACTATGCCAGCTTCATTCGGACTCACACAGTCAAAGTGATTCTGAACTGTTTCCAATTCTTTGTCTGCCTCTTTTGTGCTTCTATACAATCAAACAAAGGCAAGTCGGTCTTCATGGTGATGTACGGTCGATATCCGCGTCTTCTCCTTGATCAGAAAATTGGGTTACGGCGAGTATCACCCATTTACACTTGCCTGATTGTCAGTGAATTTCCAGAGAAGTTCGAGAAGATGCCTTCGAGAAGAAGAAGAAGAAGAAAAAAAAAGTTCACTTTGAAACAAGGTGCTTGAAAGGGTTTTAGTTTCCCGTCCCATTGCCTGCAAAATTGCAATTGGTGTTTTCTAATAAGCATCTACGTGACTAAGGGCTTCCCTACATTCACTGGTACATAAATTACAACCGTATACATATCGCTGTATACGAGCGAGTAGAGCGTTGAGTACTCCGAGATCAATGAGCTAGAAATTCATCACCTTCAGGCTAACGAAATCATGTTTGATGTATCGCCGGCAAGTAGCTAGGCTCTGGGGGCGTGCATGTTGACTATGTTCATTCTCCAAGTCACAACTCATAAGTTTGCTGGAAATCCTTCAACAACTCACCACCGGTTTGGTCATTCATCGTTATCGGTCCCCGAGTTTCTATCTAAACCATAATCTACTTGAACCGCATTTGGAGATATTTTGAGAGCTTCGCTCATTTGCACATGAATTCGGTTTTGATAGGAGACTCAGATGTATCCAGTTGAATTGCCTGTTTGTGATGGTCCGCTTCAGCCAAATGTGGTGCACAAGCTTGCTTAGTATTCCGCTGGTGCGATATTCGGGGTACGCAATACGCTGTTTTAAGGCGTATTACATTTCTGGTTAAATTTGCTGAAAACTCTTAGGCAACCAATGGCAGGTTTCGTCGTTCTTGGGGCTCCCGTCGAACACGAATTGGTGTGCAAGTGAGACTAGTTGTCGATTCCCAAATAGGACGAAAATGTTACGCAGAGATTTTTGGATTTTCGGTTTTGGTTGGCTTCACTAATATGTCAGGGGAAGGATAATTTCATTGAATTGCGAGACTTACTCCTCAGAACTGGTCACTCGAAGCGGTCACTCACTCAAAACCCCTGCATGAGATAACAAGAATGACTGTTCACCGGTATCACAACATTGTCATTTAAATTCCGTTGCACTAACCAGTTAAATCGTAATGAGTACATACCGCCTCGTAACAAGCAACTTTCTCGGACTTTGGCGATCCGTCGATTCCGGCTAGATGCAAGGTCGTTGTACCCGGGATGAATCTGTCCAAATTTACTGTGGACTCACTCATCGATCATCGAGGCTTCCTCTTTTGCCTGAATGAACGAAGCGTTTGAGCACCTTCTGACTTTATGGCCTTCCAAAAATCCATAAACCAAATGTCCTGGTGAGACAGATGGCAGACAGAATAGGTTCCACACCGCATGAAGTGGCTAGAATCTTGGCCGGCATTTTAAGCCCCTCACCGGGAAATCTAGTGCTTACATTAAAAATTCACGTGACTTCGCCAACAAAGTAGCGGGTGTCCCTGCTTAACCAGATAACATCCTTGTAAGTTTGGATATGAATTCGTTATGTTCAAAATTGCCAAAAGGCAACTCTTTAGAAATAGCCAATTGACAGATATTAGCGTATACCAGCCTTTCAGAACGCAATCAACTCTCAAACTAACCTGCTTCGTTTCTTGACCCAGTGGTTTAGACTCAGTGGTTTGGACTTTCAACTACTCCCGGTTTTGGTAAACATATTTGCGGAAGAATTTGAGCAGAGAGCTATAGCCGGATTTCCATACTCAACTAAGATATTCTGGCCGTATGCAGATGAAACTTTCGTCATGATGGAACGAGTAGGACGTAGTGAGTTTCGCAATTATCTGAATCAACTGCACCCACATATCAAACTTAATATGGAGACGGAGTGACCCTTGGGTTCACTGGCCTGTTTTAGACTGCATGACACATCAGTCGGGGGAAATTAAGGACGAGAAGCCAACCGACACTGGGGAAGTTTTGAACTACTTGTCTCCCCATCCGCAATCGGTATTCGCTAGCATTGCCCTATTAGTGTTTAAACGTGTAGTGGCCCTGTTCTCAGAAGCAGCTGAGTGGACAGCAGCCAAAATTGAAGTGAATAACAAACTTCGCGGTAGTGGATATCTAGCTCCAAAACCATATAAACCTTATAAGCTTTACTGAAAGACTCGGTAATCGCGGAACACGCTATGGATACGGAAAACAAAATACATTTAGAAAATGCTGAGGTTTTGAGACGAGGACCACGGTCCACGTCACAGAGGCTGATAGCCTAGGCGGTAGAAATCGCGAAGCATCCCACTGCTAAAAGAATAGAAGTTGTGGAACTGGCAAGCATGTGGAGATGGCTTTTGGGTCAGTCGAGCTGACACGTGTTAGTTTGCGGTCATCAGAAAAAAAGAGTAATCGTCGTGTGAATTCCACTTGACCTCAACCCAACCGCTCAAACTAAATTGTCAGAGCACTCACAACCCCACAAATACCAAGGAAAATCTACCAGTGGCAATCGGGGTGAATAATCTTTTGAAGCCCTCTGAAATGGAACACTAACGAACCAACCTCGATCAGAATTTCTGTGAAACTCCTCGAATCTACCAAAGTAAGATTCTGACAACCACGGTAACCGACATGAACCTTAATTTACACTCAACACTGATCCAGTGTGACTATCTGAATGGGGCTCACTGACTGGTACTCTGCCGGCCTATAAACTGACCTATTTGGCGACCTACTCACCTGGTCTGATGAGG